GTCCTCCCCGTCCTGCTTCATCTCTAATCACTTCCTCCAGGCTCCTCCCAGTCAACTCACCTGCCCCCCAGCCCCCCCAGCCCTGGCTCCCACCTCCAGCCGGCAGGGGCAGGAGGGGGAGGGGCCAGAGGTGGGGGCAAAGTGCTGTGCAGGGTGGCAGGAGGAGGAGGGGGGTCTCCAGGAGCGCGAGGACCAGTGGGGCCTGCTGGGGGACCCCCATCCTCCAGCTGGCTCCCCTAATCTCTGTCCATCCATCTGTGTCTCTTAGGGCTGAGGGGGGTGGGGGCCCAGCAGACCTCTGGCCCTGAGCCGCTGGGCATGCACGTGCAGGGAGTGGGGAGATGGGGCTGGGGGCCCCCCCCTCCACCTGTGGAGGAGAAAAGTGTGTGTGTGAGAGAGCAGGGGTGAGAGCAGGGGTGGGGGCAGGGGTGCAGCTGTGTGTGTGGGGGGGGTGTCACATGCCTGCTTCCAAAATCTCCTCCACTGGGTGAGGGTGTGTGTGCACACGTGTGTGTGCACCACAAGCTTGCATGACTTGGGGCTGTGATGTGTGTGGTTGCGTGTCCATCCGTGTGTGGCTGGCTTGGGCCGGTCCTTGCCCGTGTTCTTGAGCTGTGCGTGGCCCCAGTGTGTCATGGTTGTGTCTGAGTTGTGTCCGGGTCTTGCGTGCTGGGGGCTGGACAGGCCGACATTCGTGGCTGTGTCCACATGGGGCTGGGTGTGCGGGGAGGAGTCTGCGGGTGGGCCCTCAGGATGCCACGGGTGTCCTTGCAGGTTGTGTCTGGGACGCTGTGTGTGTGAGTTCTGTTGTATGAGCTAAGGGACAGACCCGGTCCCCTGTATCCTGGGTCTGATGGGCCACTCAGTCGGCCCCTGGGTGTGTGTCCCCTTCTCACCAGTAGGTGCTGCCCTGCCTCACATTGGGAGGCGTGAGGCTGTGTGTGCGTGTGTGGAGGGGGGTGTCTGGGTTTGAGGGGCTGTGTCGCTGCTCCCCGCTCCCCCCCCAGAGTTGTCAGTGGCCTGGAGCTGTGTCCCCTGAGTGTGTGCACCGATGTGCAGTGGAGGGATGCTGTCAGCAGAGGGGGAATGTGTGTGCATGGAGCCAGGGGGGCGGGGCACAGCAGGGGGACTGAGCAGGCACTGCTGCCCTTCCGGAGCCTCCCTACAGGTGGGGTATTTGCCCCGCCCCATGCGGCTCCCCGGGGGGGGGGCACCTATGGTGCGGCAGGTAGATGGCACCCTTGGGTGAGCCTGAAAAGGATGCTCCTTCCCCGGATGCTCACAGCCCAATCGGCACACCTGAGGGAGGGGAGCCCTTCTGGGCTCCAGCCAGCCCCTTGCACAGCGCCCTCACCCTCACCCTCACCCTCACCCTCACCCAACCACAGGCGGCAGCCCTCGGCCAGTGGAGGATCCACGCTGCTGTGTGCACGTGGCACTGCTGGGAGGGCGCCTCTGCGTGGGATTAAGTCCTCTGCGCTCTGTGGGTGGTGAACCCTGAGGCCCGAGCTCCACGCCCTGGGGCTCAGGCAAATGAGGGACCTGTTGGAATGCTGGTGTCTCATTTGAAGTGTGTGTGTGTGAGAGAGAGAGAGAGAGAGAGAGAGAGAGAGAGAGAGAGAGGAAGACACACACACACTGACGCCCGACATCCCTTGATTATTAGGTCCAGATAAGGGAAAGAAAGAAGCGTGTGGGGCGACTGAGGACCACGGGGTCTAAGCCTCTGGCGGTGCCTGGAGGCATCTTGTCTGTCAGGGCGCCTCGCGGAGGCTGAACAGCAGGCCCCGTAGGCCAGCGGCACCCACCCAAGAACCC